CAAGTTCTGAAGATACTCAGTGAGTTAAAGCCTAGTAAATCAGCGGGGAGTGATGGATTACATCCAGCGATCGTCAAGCCGCTCGCAGAAATTTTGGCAGCTCCTGTATGTGAGTTATGCGAAAAACCCCTGTTACTCGGTGAGATACCGAACGACTGGAAGACGGCGACAGTCGTGGCGATATATAAGAGGGGTGTTCGAAAGGCGCCAGGAAACTACAGTCTAGTAAGTCTCACTAGAATCCTCTGTAAAGTACTAGAGACAATAGTTAGAAACGGCATAGGGATCATGTTGCGCGTTACAAATTGTTATCCCCAACCCAGCATGGGTTCCTCAAAAACAGGTGATGTCTCAGCAACCTGTTGCGCTTCCTAGATGAAGTCACAAGGAAGCTAGACGAAAGTCAAAAAGTTGAAGTTTGTTACTTGGACTTGAGAGGGCCTTCAACTCATTATATAACCGATTATTACTCAAGAAGCTCGAGAACTTCGGCCTTCCTAGGAGTCTTATTAAATGGATAAGGGCGTTTCTAAACAGACGTACCTTCGGGTTTCGAGTAGGAGAAACACTATCAGCGGAAGGGGAAGTCACCAGTGGGGTGCCATAGGGCTCCGTCCTAGGCCCAATACGTTTTCTTCTGTACTTCGATGACTTACTTAGTGGTTTGTCCATCCCGACTTTCGTGTTTGCCAACGATGTCAAATTAGTTACCTCAGGATAACAAAACCAACTGCAAGAAGAGCAAACAAAGGTTAACCTTTGGACCCAGATGTGGGTGTAGATTCCAAAACGACTTGTTCTGGCGAAACCGTAGCCCGAATGTATTCGACTATTCCACGGTCGTCTAAAAGTGCCAGATTTCAGGCGCACGGTCACAGTACGGACTAATCCGTCCCTACCCACTTCGCAGCTCTCTACAATCCCCATCAGCCATTTTCCACGCCCTAGACAATCTGTAGATACGAGCACTACGTCCACTTTTTGAAAGTTCCGACACTTGTTAAGCCACTTTTGACGAGTTTGTAATATCGGCAAGTACTCTTTCAACCATCGGCTCCAAAACACATCCAAGTAATTTGTCTGCCTATACCTCCTCGAATATCGGTCCTGAATGTTTTCTTCCGTAGACAGACCTTCGCCCTTGAGGGTGTGCCGGACGTAATCAGTTGCACCATAGCCGGATTTCGAAGCGTCGCAAAATATGTGCAATTCAGTTCTCCCTTTTTGCTGCGGATCCTCTTTGTGTACAGTCCTTGGAATGCCGATTTTTCCGAGTCGATAAAAGAACGCTATCAACTCATCCCACAAGTGAGAATACTTGCCCATGTACTTGGCGGCGCAGTCTAATACTATACGGATCTTATCCGGTTTATTTGGCTTGATCACGCCACGATGCGACAGATACCACTTCACCGGATAATCTTCGTAAAGCGGGTAGGCAGGGACATGGGTCACATACCCCTTATCCATCATCAGTTTCATCGATTTTACGTACTTCTTTCGTAGGGCTTCGTCACGTACCAAATGGCACTTGAGTTGTTTCAAACCGACCAACGACGATTCATAATTTCGCGAAACGGTATTGGCGACTTTCTTACACGGGAGAGACACTACGAAATGACCTTCGGAGAACCGCGTTCCGTTTTTCACTAACCGGATGGCTTCCATCGCAGGTGCCAGTCTGTGGGTAGCCTCATGGTCAACTAACGGGTCTTCTTTCAGCAGATCATCGTGCTCGAAGCGAGGTGTCCTAAGCTGCTTTACAGAATCGGCAGACGATTGGAGGGAGTTTGCAGAGTCCGCGCAAACGGTTCTTCTAGATGAGCTGAATCTTTGCTGCAGATCTAAGAGTTCTTCCCGTTGCTTTTCTTGCAAGTGTCTTAGCTCCATTTCTTGTCGCTCGTTCAGATGCCTCCGTTTCAACTCTAACATTTGCGGTTTATCACTTAGACGACTACTGTGCCGACTAACCC